AAGCTGGTATTTAAGAAAGTTGGGCTTAATTCTTAATAAGCAGTCTCACAGTTTACATCTCATTCACAAGTCAAATTTTCTCCAACTCTGAATCATTATTAGTTTCTCTCCTTACACAGAACAGCAGATAGTCTGGAACATAACGGGAATACCAAAATGCATTTCTTAATCTACCAGGATTTATAAAGTTTATTAAATGGAACATGTCCTATGTGATATTCAATAAAAACCCTGAATAATTGGGCCTACTGTTGTATTTATGTGTTTTCTGTATTTTAAATCCTCCCTTTTGCTATCCTGACTTCAAATTATAGAGTAATAAAGCCATTCTGACAGAAAAACAACATATTAAATAACTGCATTTTTCAATCTCTAGCCAAAACTAAATCTGTGTTTTGCTGGTGGCATGATGTTCAAATTTTTGCCAAGCAAACAATGCATTAGAGTATCAAAAACTAATCTGAGTCTACAGACCTGATCTTAATTTCTATTCAACATCACATTTTCACTATTTCTTTCAAATGTTTAAATTACTTACAAATAACCTTTAATAAAATGTTAAGAAAAAGAAAAATATACTAACTAATGTAAAATAGGTTAGTTTTTTAAAAACCTTGTTCCCAGATGCATACATACACAAAAAACTACAAAAACACTTAAAATAATGCTCCTATATATCTTATGTTCTGTAGGATTTTTTAATGACATAATAATCATACGTACTTAGGCCTATGCGATCTTGAGTTATCTAAACTTGAGGCCTCTATTTACTCCATTGGAAATCGGGATAAAAAAGTAACTTCCACGGGAGATCACAATGTGCATTAAGACAGCACGCAAAGCACTTTAATCAAGCAGTATGCAAACAGTTTTATATATTAACTTTCATTCTTAAATCAAAATTTCAGGGGTTGGGGGTTTAGCTCAGCGGCATAAGTGCCTGCCTTGCAAGCAGGCAGTAGTGAGTTCGATCCCCAGTACCGATAAAAAGGAAAAAAGACCAAAACAAAAAAAAATTTCAGTGCTATCCCTATCTACTAAAACATTACATATTCTATGGTAGCCATCACTATTAACCCTTCTCAATTGTAAACATTTGTAAGCACTCTGAGAAGAGTTGTACAACTGCCTAAAATAGGGGCTGGAGGTTTAGCTCAGCGGCATAAGCGCCTGCCTTGCAAGCAGGCAGTCGTGAGTTCGATCCCCGGTACCAAAAAAAAAAGAAAAAGACAAAAAAAAAAAAAAAAAAAAAAAAAAAAAAAACAACTGTCTAAAATACATTCAACTATCCCCCCTCCTCTTTGAGTGTGGTATCACTGCTCAGGGACTGGCTGGGCTGTGCTCTTCTCTGTACTTACCATATTTCATTTTTTACTTGAGTACTTTCTGAGGGCAAAGCCTGCATTCATTTCTGTATCTCTGGACTAAATCCTAATAGCTTAACTCTGACTCAAATTAAAATTACATGGAGAGCTTATAAAAATATTAATATCTGGGATCCATCCCAGACCCATTAAATCATGAGGTCTGGAGGATAGTGCAAGAAATCAGCACAAGGAGCATTTCTTTAAGATTTGCACATATCAGAGTGCTCATGGAGTTAGCCACTGCGTCCTGACACTTTGAATACTGTTATGTATATATGCATGAAGATTTCTGTGTACATAATACACAGAAATATGAGACCTTCCTCAACGCTTGTTCTTTATAGATGCTCCCAGCCCAGTCATCCCTTTAGACACAGCATTTGAGGTAGAGGGAGCAGGCATGAGACAAGGTCTTGCTTGCTATGTTGTTCAGGCTGGCCTAGAACCCTCAAGATGATCCTCCTGTCTCAGCCTCCCAAGTGCTGGGATTACAGGTGTGCATCACCACACCCACTCAGTAAACACACAGTATTTTTACTAAATCATCCCTTCTATGCTACATTACATTTGCTTTTAATACTTAAAAGTTTTTCATGTAAATTATGCCTTATATTACTTTCTAAATTACTGCTTTGTTCCTTGAGAATATACTCTGCCTTATTCTTGTTTGCTCCAGAGCTTAGTGTAAGTGTACTAAAAAGAGACATAATCAACATTTGTCATATCTGATAAAAATTGCAGACAGGATTTGTCACATCCAAATTATCCAGTTCAACCTAGGATATAGCTCTGTAGTGCAGCATCTGCCTGGCAGGCACATGGTACTGAATTCAATTCCCAATACAAAAAAAAAGTCCAATTCAGTCAAGCTGTTACCCAAAAAATAGAAAAAGTTAAAACTCCGAGAAAAAGATTTCTAAAATTTTTCTAATAAATGAAAACTAAAGTTTATCTCATGTTAAAGGGCATGTGGTACTTATAAAGTCACACATAGTGCCCCCCTTATAGCCCATCCTCCATCAGACAATTAAAATTATCTCTTACTTGATTTTAGCATCTTTGGGCACTGTCACATACCTTTACAAAATTACATAATAATCTATTAAAATAAGTTAAAAGAGAGTCATGATAACTTCATCACACAAATGGTTAATATGTACTTCTTAAAGGAAGTTGTTTGTCAACAACTAAAAGAAGAAAAACTCAGTTGGAAATACCGTATTAAAGTAAAAATGTTATTAAACTGTAAGTATATTTTAATGTAATGTTATTACATTAAACTATAAATGTATTTTGTATTATAAAATGATCTCCATCATTTTATAATATTTTTAATACCTACAAACTGAGCATGGTGGCACAATCCTGTAATCCCAGCACTTGGGAGGCTGAGGCAAGAAAATCATTTGCAAGTTTGAGACCAGCCTGGGCTACCAAGCGAGCCCAAGGTCAGCCTGAACTATATAGTGAGACCGTCTCAAAAAGACAAAAAAGAAAAAAATCCTTTAATACTTGAAAAGTTGATAAAATGTAAAATGGCTTTTTAAACAAGAGCATTAAATTGTATCACACAAAATCCTCCAAGGAAGAAGCATTATGATTGTGGAAAAGTAGGAGACATGAAATACAATTCTAAAAAATTAACAATTTAAAGTGAAAATGGTTCACCAGCACAATTTTGCCTATATGTTTTATCACTGTTAAAATCAACTTAAAAACCTTTTTCAAAAGAACTAAAAATATGGTAAATGAAGCCACCGAAAAAGTATGTTCGCTGACTAGATACAATACTGTGATTAAGTAGTGTATGTTTTGCTGGGTCCGACACCTTGGAAAAGATCGTACCAGTTACCACTAAAAGAAAGCACTTCTCAATTCCCTATTCAATGAAAAAGGTTCAAATTCCAAACGCAAAAAAAAAAAAAAAAAAAAATGGTACCTTGGGTTGTTTGTTTTTAAGGAAGATTAAATTTAGGAGTTGCCAACACCCAAACGAAAAACATTCCAGAGTATTAGACCCAATTGTAGTGGAGAGTCATCTACATTCTCAGCACTATGTTCCCTCAATCAAAGCAGCAGTTTAACAAAAGATGTTTCTTAGGCTCTCATAAGATACACCCTACTTATTTCCCCTAGTAAACATTACTCTTGGTTTTTAAAAAGTACTTGAAAAATAATTTTAGCACAAGCAGCCAGACAAAAAGTGAAGTTTAACATCTGCCAAGATATTTCCCAAAATAAGACCCTTGTCAGATGAACAATGAATAAAAGACTAAAAATGATAAATTCTTCCATTTAAACCATCAGTTATTTAAAAATAAAGTTGGGGAATGTAATTTTTCCAAAGACTTGTCTTCAATTTCCCCTTAATTGTCATATTTTTAAGAAAAAAAAAGCCTGAAAATTTGATTACCACTCTTACGAATTCCTTTTAAAACAATTTAATGAATAACATACTTTATGGGAAGTAACAAACCACAGAGGACAGTTCTGGTGGCTGATAAAAACCTCTCAGAAACATTCATATTAAAATATACCCTACAGAGACAAGGCTGATTTTTCACGTATGGAAATCATTAATATTTAAAAGTTGAGGTCTATTTGACAGTGCCTCAATTTATCACCAAAAGTTATTGCTTAGCTTAATGCAAGTGTTTTTCCTTAAGCCATAATTAAAGTTAGGAAATTCCTAATAGTTTATACAGTGGCTTGCAGCAAAGCTGAGTAAATGTGAAGGCCAACAGTACAGAAGGAAATGCAAAATCTAGAGAGCCAATGAGAAAAAGATGCAGCTCCTCTGGGAGAAAAAGACAGTTGAACCCACATCCCATCCACTTGAGACTCTATTAAAGTAACTCACACTTGTTTGGAATTGTTTTGTTTTACACAAATGGAGGTACAATTATACACTAAAAATTCTTTTACCAGTCATCTAATTGGATGCTGCTGCCTACAGAAATGTTTTCCTACTGCTCAAAAATACCAAAACACGCGCAAAAATACATCTATCACAAGTGTTTCCCAGATATTAAGCACAGAAACAGATCTAAGCAAACAAAACTGTAAGCTGATACAGCATCCCTATTGTCCAAAGTATGACTCAGAAAAAAAAAAAACTGTGTTGAGAAGCACTATGTATAATAGTGTGTATGTTCATTTGGGTATACTCATTCTTGGGTTCGTCCCAAGAAAAAGCTATCTTGGATATTGCTCTGGTCACTCTTTTTCAACAGGTATTAAGAGGGAACAGAACATAATCCGATGACTTGAGATACAAGGGAGAAACTAAGTACATCGTCATCACTATTCAACAATTTTCCCTACTGATCAAGCTACTTAGATAAGTCTAGGCAGGCAAATCCTGCTGTCTATCTAGCAATTCCAAAGTTATACCCAGGATCTGAGACTGCAGCCAGGAAGCTAGAAAAAGCACGTGTCCCAGTCCGGTTTGGGGAACTTCCCAGGAAGCATTCGCTCAAAGTAAAACTCCATCACCCTCTGCTGCCTAGCTTGGGGAAACTCCGCGTTCGGGGTCCGGGATGCTCTCGGGTGGAAGCACCGAGAAGGCAGCAGCCCGCCCGGCTTCGCCACCGCCCGCACCCGCGCCCGCGCCCGCGCCCGCGCCCGCCTCACCTCCGCCGCCGGGATGTTGACCACGCCGGTGGAGCGCCTCTTCTCCCGCAGCTTCCTCTTCTCGATCTGCCCTTTGCCTTTCCTGGCGCTGGGGCCTGAGCTCCGGCCCTTTTCGGGGGCGCCGTCCGGCTCCTCCTCGTCGCCCGGGGCCAGAGGGGCCCCCGAGGCTGCGGCAGCGGCGGCGGCGGGGGCAGGGGTCTCGTCCTCCGGCCGCCGCGGGACTGGGCCGGCCCGAGTCAGTGCGGCGGGGCCGACCGTGCAGTTCACGCCCCCGGGGCCCGGGGCAGCAGGTGCGGCCGCGCCTCCCGGGAGGCTGCTGTGGAGCTCGGGGGGCGCCGAGGCGCCCAGCGCCCCCGCAGGGGACTTGGTGGCCGCGTCGCTGCTGGCCCCGCCGGCGGCGGCGGGGCCCGGGGGGTTCTGCTTGGCGCGCATCTTCTCGCGCTTCGCCTTCCACTCCTCCAGGAAGTCTGTGGTGCTGCCGCTGAGGCTGCTGCTGGCCCGGTAGCCACCGGTCGCCATATTCCCAGCGGGGCTGGCAGAGTTCTCACCTCGGCCGCCCGCCCCGGCCCCAGCTCCGGCTCCGGCTCCGGCCGCCGCCTCTGCCTGCTGGCGACCGGGAAATGGTGAAGGGAGTGATCCCGGTTCCGAGTGGCCGCAGCTCAGCGCCGAGCGGCGGGTCTGAGGGCAAACACAAAAGGGGGCGGGAGCAGAGTCAGGTCCCGGCAGCCCGAGGGTCGCCCCGGCAGCGCGCGGCTGCGTCCCCGCCCTGCCTCGCCGCCCAGCGCACCTTCGCCACCGCCGCGGACACCGCCCCCCAGGGGAGGGAGAGCGCTGACCCCACCCCGGCACCCCCGCCCCATCTGGGCTCAGCGCCTCTGCTGCCGGAGACGCCGACCAGACCTCGCCACCTGTCGGCCCGTCGGGTCGCCCGATCCCACGCCCGGGCGCCTACACGCATCTTTCCTTCCCTCCGCGGCTCGCGGAGCGGAGAAGGCAGGGACCCAGCTGTGCCGCCGGAGGGGAAGGGCACGCAAGTCCAGCGGGAACGTCGCGGGCAGTCCCTTACCTACGAGGAGTTTAGGGAACCAAAGCGCGCGGGTGAGGGTTGCCCAAGTGAGCCGACGCCGCCGCGCGCTCTCTGGATACGCGGAAGGAGCCGCGGCCACCGTACGGTCCCAAGCTCGCGGCGGTCCCAGGCTGGGAAGGAGGGAGAGAGTGAAGGAGGGAGTGAGCGGCGGGACAGGAGCCGAGCGCTGCCGAAACCGAGCGGAAAGGGCCGAGACGGCGCGCGGTGGGCCGGGGGGCGTGCCCGGCAAGGCTCCGCCCTCTGCGCTCAGGTGCGCGGCGCCGCCCCCGGCCTGCTACCCTCCCCTGGCGGCTCCCGGGGTCCGCGCGGCTGCGAGCCGGCAAGCTCTCTGCTCGCCTTCTGTCTCCCACCCCCTCATGAACTAACCGTGTTATTCTAGGCAGAGTTTCGAGTGTTGCTGAGAGGGAAAGTACAGTGGACTTGTGATGGCTCGGGACCGACGAGCCGGGGAAAGATCAGCGCACGGTCCCGTCCCGGTGCCGCCGCCTCTCCAGATGGCGCCGGAGAATAGAAAAAAGCGAAAGGCGCAGTCCCCTCCTCTGCGGAAACGCGTCCTGGTGTAAGAGATGCTAAAATTGTCAGGAAATGAGCAAGAGTTTACCATTAGATTTGCGACCTTGTCAAAACTTCTTACGCGGATTTGTTGTATTGGCGATTCCTGTCTTCCTTGAGCCTTTCCTTAGAACCCAGTCTCCACACCTCCTCTTCAGCGGCCAGACTCCCTCCGAAGTACTAAACTTGCGCTGACCTTGACTTGAAAGGAGCTGGAGTGATGGTAATTTCCATTCCTCCTTAGCCTCCCATCCAAACCGTCTGAGATTTCTGGCCACAACTGTCCGGCACCGGAGGAGACTGAGCCTCCTATACCCAGTAATGTCAGGGTGCATCACTGTCGTAGGCTACAAATGCCAGGTCTCCATTTTGTAAAAAGTAGGAGAACCTTGAGTCACACTCTTACTCAACAGAAATCTTCCCTTCCCACTCCCCATTCCTATTTTACCCAGGTAGCAAATGGTAGGTGAGCCGTCGGTGGATGCCTGCTAGAGGAATAGGAAAGGGAGACATGATTCATTGCTTTGAGAGAAAGTCAGGCAGTTCTGGTCATTGGCCTGCCTGTTTGCATGACTGAGTGGGTACCTAAGAGAAAGTTGTGGACAATTCCTTGAAAAAAAAAAAAATCAAAGGCTTCCTTTGGGAATGTTTTAGAAGCTGAGTGGCCATTTGCCTAGATGGCACCAACCTGGGTGCACCACCTGAAATTTTTCAATCACAGAGTTCATATTTTCCAAGGCTTAAGGAGAGCTGGAGGGAGGATTGAGTGCTTAATGTATTCCCATTCATGTGTTTCATAGAGGATTTCTGTCTGAGAGAGGCTGCAAGATATAGTGGAAAGAGTATAGTTAGCCTGGATACAAACATATGTCAGGGAGCTGAGAGCGCCTGAGAATATGCTTAAATTCTCTGGGACTCAGCAGCTTTATGTACTGTAAAAGTCAATGGTGGCATGTATTTTTAAGACATTTTATAAATTGACACTGCATGTACAATGTCAAGGTTCAAGGAATGCACTGAATATACTCTTCTGTCAATAAGGTATCAGTTATTACAGTTTCTGAAGAGTCTTGGGAGAGAAGGCAAAGAAAAGAAAGATTAAAAATATTAACCTTGAAAGGACAGATTTTGAATGAACCAGGATAACACTTACACCACATAAATTTATCACTGCATCTCTTAGACCAGTTTTCTTAGTATTAATGGACTCTGAGTCAGGGATGCTGGCTGCTACTGACTTGTGTGGCTTTGGACAAGTTGCTTAACTGTTGTGCCTCTGTTTACTTACATATAAAGTGGGGATAATAATACTTGCTACATTGTGAGAGCGTCGTGAAAATGCCTAAGGTCTTAAGATAAAAGGTAGCATATGAGCAGCAGAGTACTTATTATTAGTCTATAAAGTGCCCTAGGAACCATGAAAGAGATTACTGAGGTACGAAGCGCTGTTTTATTATTGTTATCATTTATTGTACCTTTTGTCTTTACCATTCTCAATACTCCCAAAGATACAGGTCACAGCCAAACTTTTCATCATTGTGCTGGGGATATTTAGCTGAGTCACTTACACCCTAAACTGCAAGGTGTGTGCATATCCTCAGTCTTATGTATAGAGTTCTGATGAAATACTCAAAACTGGGCCCTTGGTTTCCCAATGTCAGCAAAACCGATAGTTGGGGCTAGATAGGTGTGTGTTTTCAGGTTTGCCCTGGCCATTGTAGAATCTTTAGCGGCATCATTGATTTGTACCTGATACCAATAGCATCCTTCAACCTCATTGTAACCTTGCCAAATGTTTGGGGTGGGGTGCTGTTCAGAACCTCTAAGTTGGCCTAAAGTTAGTAATGTTAGTGACCCATTTTGCCCTTAATAGTAAAGAAAAATGTCATTAACAGAATAAAAATATTTAAAATTTCAGTGACTTATTGTAAATGTTGACTTTATTAATGTTTTTCAAGCAGTGGATTAACTAATGCAAAACACTGCATTTATATGTGTTGAAATAATAGCATGTTAGAAAACAGTCATTTTGACTTCAATACAAGTATTTCTGGAGCACATGAAATTAATAGTTCCATCCAATATTGTACGACAGCAGAGTTTTGTGGTGTTCTAAGACTGTACCTATTGTTTTTCCTTGTTTTTCAACTATCTCCTTCCTTTTCTTGCATTCAGAATCTTTCTTCTTCATTTCTCTCTGGTCTTGTTGTTGTTATTGTCATTGTCATCATCTTTTTGAAACAGAGTTTCACTGTACAGTTCAGGCTGGCCTTGCACTCATTATGTAGCCCAGCATGACCTCAAACTCTCAGCAATCCTTTCTGCCTCAGCCTCCCAAATGCACCACCACATCCAGCTCCATTTCTTGCATTTAAAATGGGCCTCTTTTTTATAACCGTTGACATATTTTTCTGTATATGACTCACAAATTTATACCAAGTTTGCTCTTCTCAATGCAGTGTATCACACTGAGAAATCTGCCGTTTCTAGTTTTCTTTTTCTTAGATACCTGTCTCCTGGAGCTCTCCATCACCGGCTTCAGCCTGGACTGATTTTATGGCCTATTCCTTTATGGTCATGCTGGGATTGAACTTTCCTAACATCTTGGAGTCATTTTCTGTGTGAACTACTTCCTAAATTCTCTGTTCCTTACTCTTGTTTCTCATCCTTAGTTAGTGTATTTTGGAGATAATTTAAATAATACCTTCTTGGAGACTTAGAATATTAGAAAATGTTTTATCTTTTAGTTGCCTAATAGTTAATTAGGGCATAGGAATCTAGGTTGGAAATCATTTTCCTTAATAATTTGAAAGTATCGGTATATTGTATTCTAGTTTTCATAGATGCTGTTGGTGGCTTTCTAATTCTTTTTTCTCCCTGAGAACTTTTCTGAATGAAGACCTACTGGAACATTTTCCATGATTATGTCAGGTTTTCAGTGGACCCTTTTAATCTGCTACCTGCCCTTTAGTTGAGAAATTTCCTTATCCTGTTTTTTTCAATAATTCTTCCTTTTCATTTCATTCTTTCTTTCTGGAACTTCTGTTAAGTAGGTATGAGACTCCTAGGAGTCCTCTAATAGATATATAAAATTGTTTTTCTCGTATTTTCCATCACTTTGGCATGTTAATCTACTTTCATGTAAATTTCTTCTACTTTGTATATATCTTCCTATTGAATTTTTGTTTCCACCATTTTTTTTTTCTCTTTTTTGGTAGGGAAAGGATACTAGGAATTGAACTCACCACCTCACGTTTGCCAGGCAAGCACTGTGCCATTGTATCCCTGGCCCATACCACTATTTTTTCTAAAATCCCTTTTTTCTGTTTCTTTTCCATAACATCCTGTTCTTATGTCATGTAGTCAACATCTTTTTCTCTCCCCAAGGAAATTTGTTTAACTCCTTGTCTGCTGATCCAGCACTATGTCTTTTGCCTAAGGCTCTCCTCTTTCTTTTTTGTTTGTTCTGGTCTTCATCTTTCACATCAGCCCTTGCTCATCAGCCTTCATTCTACTCATATTTATATAAGACTGAAGAATTAGTTGGGAATATAGCTCAGTGGTGCAGCACCTGCCTGGCGTGAGGTCCTGAGTTTGATTTCATGTACTTCCCACTCCCAAAAAAGACTGAAACATTAGAAAGCTGATTGGAAGCTCTTTTATGAAAGGGTAAAGCTTGTTGGTGGATGACTGGCGTTTATGGGACTCATATTAGGATGCAGGCATTTTGTGGAGGTGTGTCATACACCAACATCTGTGGTGCTTTTCTTTCAGCTGGATCAGTTTCCGTGAGAAGATGGTGTTTCTGCCTGTGTTGCTAGTTACCAACTATTTCAGGTGTCAAATAAGGAAAGAGGATGGGTGGAGTGTCATTACTCAACATGAAAGTTTTTGTGCAAACTCTGTGCTCCATGTGCCTAGTGTTCTGACGTTCAGGAAATTTATGATTTCAGTATCTACAGAATCTGAACTTCCAGGTCTCTGCCAGAATCAGAGGAATCAGTCTCGCTGTTGAGCTCTGCAGAGATGATGAGAGAATGTAAATGTTCCCTCTGCTGATTTCCAACTCATCTTTCTGTTTTCACCTCACATTTTACTTTTTCAGGAGTGTGTGCTGCCGCTTCTAATATTGAGGTAAAGCCAGGTGCACCTGGTTACACAGCTGTAATTCCAGGTCTCTGGGATACTACAGCAGGAAGATCACAGATTTGAGCCCATCCAGCACCAGCAATTTAGCAATTTAGGAATATCTTATCTCAAAATAATAGATAGTGCTTTGTGTATAACTCCGTATAAAAACCCTGAGTTCAGTCCTCAGAATCTATACACACACACACACACACACACACACACACACACACAGTTTAATCCATCATCTTTAATAAGAAGTCATCTGCTTTGCAGATTTCCAAGATACTTTGTAATCTGCTCTGTAACTGAAGATTAGTAGAGACTTCTACATCTTATTTCCCTTCTCACTGAATTACATCATAAGTGCACACTGATTAACACTGTAAGAAAGAACTTTACGAAATGTTCTCTTCCAGGGATTGTTTTTAAAGGCGTGGTCCCATTACATTACACATTACATTACATAATGTTCTCATTAGTTAAGAAAAAAATTCTGACATCTATGTTGCATATAGATGGATTTTTCTTTTCCAACTGTTTTGGTTTTCTTTAACCATATGTTTTCTTTAACTATATGTTATGCAACTAGTAAATTTTCTCTTTTTCAATTGCCAGCAGGTAATCTTAAACTAGATTTCACCTAACTAGGGAAGACTTTGGTTTTATACTAATTTTAAAGCTACCTGGCTATTTTTCTTTTGCTACTTTTTCTTGATCTTTCACTTCAATTTAATTCCAAAAAATGATATGTGTATATCTTACTGTCCACATGTCAACAATAAATTAGCAGATAAGTTTTTTGGGATTTGTGGGGGGTTTTTGTTTGTTTGTTTGTTTGTTTTTGGTACCCGGGATCAAACTGACTGTGTGCTTACAAGGCAGATGCTTATGCCACTGAGCTAAATCCCTGGCCCGAAATTGGCTTACATAAACTTCTGTATGATGCAGTAGCCATCGTTTTTCTCTATTTAGTATCTAGTTCCCTCCAACCAGTGTTTTGGAAATGTTCTTATACCATTAGTCTTAACTTTATAGACAAACTTGCTAGATATTTTTTCCTTGATAATTAAATATAAGGGAAATAAAACTGTACCATTTTCCATTTTTGTCAGCTTAACCTCTAAAATATCTTTATGGTATTTGTCCTGTCTGCAGTGACAAAGCCTCTTTATTTTACATACATTTGGCTTAACAACATGCATCTTCATCTTTAATCCTACATGGCAAAAATACAAGAGTATTTGCACTGAATATTTGACATGCTCTTTGACAATTTGAAATCACATAAACTGAAATTGTTGTATCTAGCTTACACAGTTATTTTTACATTTAGCTTTATTACCCTATCTGTAATAATTTCAGGCATTCTGTTTCTTAACTAGTTTTAATGCTTATCATCAGTTCTTTCATGCAGTTATCTCCCTACTCTTTAGTTATTTTTAATTCATGTTCTTTGCTACCTGCAGTAAATCATTCAGCGACATTTTTAGAGAAGAATCCTGGTCATTATACTTTCATAACCCCTGGATGTCTGAGAATGTCTTTTAGTTGTCTTCATATAGAAATAATAACTTGGTAGGTATGTAATTCTTGGTTCAAAATTAAATTTCCTTTAAAATTCTATAGAAATTATTCCATTGTCTACTGGCATTTAGATTTTTTTTAATTATAAGGGAAAATGTGAGGTCAGTTTGACTTTTTCCTCTCTATATACAATCTACTGTCAATTTTTCCTTTATCCTTGAAATTTTAAAAAGGTCATTAGATGCTTATTTTTATTAAATTTTGAAATTACCTATCAGTGTTTTCTATAGATAGGCCTGCTTCATTGTTTAACTCTGAAAATTTTTCTTGGTTAGTTCCTTAATTGTGGCTTTGTTCTGTTTCAGGAGTTCCTGTTACATATAGATTGTATCCACAGCGCCAGCCTTGTAGATGTTCTTTTTCTCCTCTCTTTTTGACTTCTTCTGCCTTTTGTTTTGCACTTGATGAGGATTTCTCTAGTTTTATGTTTACTTCAGTAATTTGACTTTGTGTTCATTCAGCTTAGATATTTCTATTAACCCAAGTTCCAGAAATCTTCCAAGTGCTCTAACATGATTTGTCTTTGATGTCCTCTACAATCAGATGTGTAGCACTTTCTACCTCTTTTGGGGCTGGGGATTTAGCTCAGCGGCATAAGCACCTGCCTTGAAAGTGTGCAGTCGTGAGTTTGATCCCTGGTACCGATAAAAATGAAAAAGACAAAAAAAAAAAAAAAAGAGCCTACTTTCTACCTCTTTTATGTAGATAGATCTGTTTTAAGGGGTGGCAAGTTCTCCATTACTTGATGTTGTTCTTTTCCTCTGAACTGCCATATTAATGACATTTTCACTGACTTTTCTTAGCAATGGGATCTAATAAAAAGAGGTCCTTAAACTAGAGGTTTAACTCAGCAACCTAAGTGCCTGCCTGCAAGTGTGAGGTCATGAGTTTGATCACTGGTACCAAAAAAAAAAAAAAAAAGAATGAAAAGAGGTCCTTAGAATCATGGAAACTCTGAGAAATCATCTGAACTCTGAGAAGTTCTGTTTTATACTATTCCCATCAAAAAGGAAAATCATGTATTGGGCATTCATAATTCTACACATCAAATATTACCAAATATATTTCTTATAAGAAAGAACTTTCATTTTGACTAGATATCAATGAAAAGTGAACTATTTGTATTTTACCTACCTGATGATTGGCAAATTTCCCATAGGCTGGCTTTGGTGCCATTGGCCCCTAGCATCCCCCACAAGAAGCAGCCTCCTTGTTCCTCCCTTAGCCCATTTTCCTGTCGCTCTTACCTACCCAGGAGTTCCTAGCTGGTGTGTCTTACTCTCCACTCCCATTTATGTTCACCCTCTAGTGATAATATCAAAAGATAATCTATCCAGTCTTCTGGCACCTGAGATCCTTGGCCTCTTGATCCCCAATAATCTTTATTATTTTTTTTCTTTACCCCTCTTGACTTATGCATTCCCAAAGTTAGTCTCTTGACTTTATCATTACTTGTAAATGCACCTCCAGAATCTGTTCTAAACATCCTATTTTTCAACCTTTACCTCCTCTCCCTGTAGAATACTTTTTGCACACTCCAACCATGTTGTACATTGATCTTACAAAATTTTCATTATTACTGTTTTTCAATTCCCAACTTTCTTTCTTCAGTCTTTTTTGAGGCAGGGTTTCACTATGTGGTTCAGGCTGGGCTTGAACTCACTTTGTAGACCAGGCTGGCCTCAAACTCACAGTGAATCTCCTGCCTCTGTGAGGTGCAGCCCTACTCTTGTCTCTTTATTGCCAAGTACTTTGCTCCTACTTTTATAGCCGTCTCTCTTGCACAGTTTATTCTCTACTAAATCATTTCTGTAAGCATACAAATGACCTTTAATAGTTCTCTCTCTCTTAGCTTTTGATTTATTCTCATAACAACCTTTTATAGCATCTTTAAGCAAGAAACTTTATCATCGGGGCTGGGGATTTAGCTCAGTGGGATAAGCACCTGCCTTGCAAGCAGGTGGTCGTGAGTTCGATCCTTGGTACCAATAAAAATGAAAAAGACAAAAAAAAAATTAAAAAAAAAAAAAGAAACTTTATCATCTTACATTTCTATAGGAGAGAAGGTCCATACTGGCCTCACTGGGCTAAAATCGAGAGGCCAGCAGGGCTGCATTCCCTTGCCGGAAGTCTTCTTCCAGTTAGAGGAGATAACACTGTCTGTCTCTGTCTCCCTTTCCTCTTTCTTTCTTTCTTTCTTTCTTTCTTTCTTTCTTTCTTTCCTTCCTTCCTTTCTTCCTTCCTTCCTTCCTTCCTTCCTTCCTTCCATTTCTTCTCTCTTTCACCTCCAGAGACCACCTACATTCTCTGGCTGGTGGTCTTCTTCATTCACCTTCAAAGCAAGCAGCATTCTATGTCTTCTCCATAGTCACATCTCCCTGTGATTCTCTTTTGTGTCCTCTGACTTTTTTTTTCCTTCTTACATGGGGAGGTAATACAGGATCTTCATGCTAAGCTACACGCCCAGCCCTTTATATTTAGTGATAGGGTCTCCCTAAATGATTCAACTGTTCAGACTGTGCTGTAACTTTCAATCCTCTTGCTTCAGCCTCACACAGTGCTGGGATTATAGGCATGTGCCATGACCCCTGGCTTCCTTAGTCATTTTATGGATTCTCGGGACCTCCTGCATAATCCAAAATAATCTCCCTATTTCAAAGTCAATTGATTGCCCTTTTCAGTATGACAATCTATTCACAAATTCTAAGAATTAGTGCCTAGCAGTCTTTGGGGACCATTTTCTGGCTACCATACTCTCAAAGACATAAGTTTCCCTGGACTCCAGAGTCTAATCTGGTCAGCGTTCTGTTTTTTTAGTTCATGTTCACTGTCAAAATTCTTGGAAAAGTTATCTTTAGCCACTGTTGCTACTTCCACTTTGCCTTTTTTTCTCTAATAATTTCCAAATGGTGTTTAGACATCATCCTCCACCAGTAATCACTCTCAGTGCTTGTCAAAATTATCACCAAATTTCACATTTAGAAAAAAAGCCCAGTGCTTATAGCTTCCTAAAAAATCTTAGCCTTTCTGCATTATTTGGCACAAGTAATGACCCCTTCAGTCTTTAACTCTTTAGTCTTCTAATTTTAATTACCAAAAAATTTTCTTTTTGCTCTCCAGCTTCAGCCTCTTTTATCCTCTCCTCTTCCGCTTAACCCTAAAAGCTGAGGTCCTCTGGGACATAGTCATTGGCCCTCTTTTTTTCTCAAGCAACACTCTCTCCCAAGACAATTCCACGGCATCCCATGGTTTTAGAATCACTGCCAAATTTATGTCAAAGTAATGTTTTCTTCCCTAAATTCCAGACTCTCATGCTCCATTTGCCCATTTGACATCTCCATGTGAATATCTGATATCCTTTTGCCAAACAAAACTCTTCATCCACTTCTGCATTGGCCTCACCCCATTCCTTTCTCATTTTTTCCCATCTTGAAAAATGGTCTCACCATCCATCCAGTTGCTGAAGCAAAAACTTAGAAAGCTTCCTTGATTTATCTCTTCTCCTTACCACAAAACTAATCCATTATCCTAGCTGCAGATGTTTTACTTTTTTATAATTTCTAATTTTTTTTATTTTAAAGAGGTTAAAACAATAAAACCAATCAAAACAAACCAATGTAAAAGACACAGGACTTCAAAACATTACAAAATCAACAGTTATCATAATGCCTTTTAATGTCTTCAAAATAGCTGCAGATAACTTTGGACATAGTAAAATCAGAACAGAATAGAATAGAAACAATAAAAACAAAATAATGAATCCAATAAAGGACTTCAAAACAAGTCAATAGCAAATCCAAAATTGCTACCATAATATATCTTGCTATCTTTGAAATAGCTGCTCCTGCCATTGGATTTGACATAATCAAACAAAATAAAACCCAACCCAACAAAACAGTGGAAATGATGTGGGAACAGTAGAAACAACACCATAGCGAATCATCAATGGCTGCAACCCTCAGAAGGAGATTCCCCCCTAGATGCCACACTGCATACCGCTATCCTCTGAACCTATGATCAGACCACTGGCCATAAACCACTGCAGCCGTTTTAAAATATACTCAATTCTTACAACAACCACAATCATCTCAAAATATTATCATCAGACCCAGGGATGCCTTGAGGTTTGTTTGCCTGTTTCCCCCCCCCCCCCACAATGCACTGCCTGAAGTTAGGTGCAGCTTGTGTGAGTAGCAAATTTTCATTATCTGTGTGCTCCTCAGGCACGCACAATGCAAGAACTACGGAGCAGGGTGTTCAAGGGTTTGTGGGCCCACCCCTTAGTCACAGAGTGCCCAGGGTATTGGATTTGTAAAAGATTTAATGTCTTCCCTGATGGGCTGTGATCTTGTTTTGGGCTGATTTTTCCTTTCTGGCTTTTTTGTTCTCATTTTTGGAATAGAAATGTTTATCCAATTGCATTCCTACCATTATATCTTGGAAGTGCCTAATCTCTTTTGTTTTTTACAAGAGCTTACAGCTGAGTTTGTCTTGAGTCTCACATAAGACTTTGGACTTAACCCCACCCCACCACCATTACTGGGATTGAACTTATGGACTTTGCACTGGACTTACATCCCAGAATTTTTAAAATTTTTATTTTGAGACAGTGTCTTGCCAAGTCACTAGTTTGTTGGTTAACTAGGTGAACTTACAGTCCTCCTGCCTCAGCCTCCCAGCCTGAATGGCATAGCAAGTTCAAGTCCAGCTTGAACTACATAATAAAACCTTTTTTCAAAAATAAATATAAAACCAAGTAAATACATTTCTAAAATGTGTACACAGTAATGCAATATTGTTAAGATATACTTTGGTAATAAAAGTAGAAATACATTAGATTCAGATTGTTAGCACTTCTCAGGATAGATGAAAGAAAAAAACGATAGGAGAGGCATCATTGCTGTCTTGTAACATTTTGTTTAAATACAAAAAGACCTAAAGTAAATGTTATAAAGTCTTGACATGAGTGGAAGTACATGAACTACTTGTTATATCATCTTCTGTGCTTTTCTGTGTTTGAAATCTATCAGAAATTAAAGTAATTTTTAAAGGAAAATACCTGGGCTTACCTAAATCCTTCCTAAGACTACTTTGATTCTAAAAGGCTGCAAGTTTAACAAAATTAAACTTGACCTAGCTTGTCATGGGGCAGTTTTAAAATCTCCCTATTTTTTTTTTTTTTTTTGACAAGCAAAAAAAATCCCACATAATTAGAGAGAACATAGTGAAGCCATGTACCCTGGAAATATCTGACATGGTTTGTGGCTTGGAGCAAAAGAAGAAAACTAAAGCCAGGCTAACTTCAAAAGGCATCATCTCTTTTAGAATTACTGGTCTTTCTTCTAATATCTGCAAACATCTCTAAACTGGTTCCTAAAGCCTCTTTATTTCCACAGGCAAACAGCTGGACAAAACTGCGCTAGTTCCCGTTTTAACCAGTTTTTGCATTATTAGTTATACAGTGATAGCAATGCCAATGAAGTACTATTCCGATTTTTCCAAACTCCCTTTGGAAACTTCACAAACCATTGCCGTTTTCAAAATGATGATAAAGTGTCTTTGTCAAGATGGAACATACAAGGGGAGTACCCACAAAGCTCATTAACACACCTGGTTTGGCTGCTTTCCGGAAGACAGTCCGTGCATTGGCATGACTCATCACTCTCTCCATCAAGAGGAATTGGGCTGTGCCAGCGACTGTGAAAGGAGTCTTGTCTTCAGCTGGCGTCAGTCATCAGCTCTATCAGGGCCTAGTCCTGACTTCAGGTTTTTTAAAGAAATTTTGTCCAGAAAAGAGATCAGAATGGAAAGTTTTCTCTATTGCAGTTAGTCCACTGACTTTCTTTGTTGTTTTTTGTTTTTAGTATCTCTCAAAGAACATCAAGTCCTTCTCTTCTGGTTTGGTTTGGTTTGGTTTTGTACTAGGGATCAAACGCATGACCTTGTGCTTGCCAAGCAGGCACTTTACGCCACTGAGCTAAATCCCCAGCCCAGTCCACTGACTTTTGAACTAACAAATCTTCAAGTTTGTAACTAAATCCTATGAGTTAGTGGGAGTGGGAGAGACCTGCTTGGAATAATTTGGGAGCTCATTCACAATTTTGTCACACCAGAGATATTTTTGATCACAAGACTAAGGTAAATCTTTTGATCTAAGATTGTACACAGACCATTATGAAAGTTGCTAAAATAAACCACACTGACTTATAGCTCAGGCACCATTTCAAAAAAGTGAAGATGCAATATAAAATTTTCAATGTAAAAGACTTTCTCTGATCTGAAGCCTACTGAGTCTTACTAGTTTCTCTGCGATCAGAAGTCTTCAATAATTAAAAACATTTGAGTGTTACTTCCACTCAAATGAATTTAAAATTAAACTTAAATTTAATCATCCTTTATGGCTTACAAAAAAACTTGAGAGACATATACCCAACCAAAATGATTTTACTGTTGTATAATGACAATGATGAGCCATGAATTCAACTCAGTCTTGGAGTATCAATGTATATAAGCCCATGTTCTTCTGCATTCCCTACAATTAAAAAAAAAGATAAAGTCAACTAGATGCTATAGATAATAAACCAAATTCTTATGCAGATAAAAAGCAATCTTTCACTGCTACTTTACTATTGAGCAAAATTAAAATTCACTTTTATTATATTGACATACTTGGATCTAATTCAAATGAGTAAACAATATTTTATATAATTATTGTGGCTGGATTTTATTTTGCCTACTACAAGCTGGAACTATGCTAGCCCCTTCATATAGTGCTTATTTCAACCTTTCAAATAACCCCATGAAGCAGAATTAATATTACTTTCTTTCCACAGATCAGAAAAAGGAGACATGGAGAGATTAAGTAACTTGTCCAGGATTACACAGCTAGTGCATGATAATTCCAAATATTTTAGCACATGTATCTCTGATTCCAGAGCCCATCCTTAGATTATATATTGAAGGAATTAACATTCAATACAAAAACAAACTGTAAACCACTCAATTTCTGCATGTTATTTTGTGAGATTTGTTTGGATTCCATCAAAATGTTAAGGCTTCATAATCAGAAAATGACTCAAAACCACTAGGTTAAAAACACACACACACGCAGTTTAGGTTTAGGTTCCTTAAGGACTGTGCATCACTGTATCACAGTATCTGGCATATGGAAGGTGTTTTGTGTATAAATATTTGCCAAATGGCATGCAGTTGAGATGATTGATCCATAGGAAAATCAGACTATTACTCCACAATGGAGGTAAGAATGGATACCTTCAAGGTATCTTCTAGTATTACCATGACCTGTTGTGTTAAAGTCAGTGTTAAATGATAACAACCCAGTCCAGGCAGGATAATAAATGGCCCATAATGTTCAGGCATGAAGGTAAAAAATCAAGATCTGCTGAGGTGCTTATTGAAGGCCTCAAGAGTACAAAATGGGTAGTACAAGAAGGTAATTATAAATACTAGATAGATACAGAAATGATATTTTAATTGTCATGAGTAATATTTCCTGTTTTATTAACATACTTGTATACATATACACATGTATTAAGCAATATCATTGTTTTCTTTTTGACAACATTGACTGACTTAATATAAGTATGTAGGTATTATTACATTATAATATTTAAATTATGGAATGTCAGGAAAAGAGTCAGCATTCCCCCCCCAAAAGATTTTTGCCTTTTATTCTCAGGAGGGAATTAGTACATTTCTATTTGTATTTAGAGTTTAAGTATGGTTTAAGGAAATATGTCTGACTGTCAGTTGACAAGGAGTGAACGGTGACCAGTAACTGATATGTCAACTTGACCTGAATAAGACCCACCTACCAGATTAGTGAAGCACGGCTCTGGGTGTGTTTGTGGGTGACTGATGAGTTGAGGAAGACCCACCTACATGTGGCTGCACCAAAAAATAATCTTGCAGCCTGGGTGGCATAAAAGGGGAAAGAAAAAGGAAGCATCCCCATTTTGGAAGAGCTCCACTATTCACTGTTGTTCTTGAACATCAATCTCTAATTTCTTCAGCTTTACCCTGGAGACTTGTGACAACTACAGTGACCTTCTGAGCCTTGACCTGGGACAGGTGCTGCACCCTTCATTTCTCTTGTTCTGAGGCTTCCAGTTTCTTGAGCTAAGCAGTTACTGGATCCTTCAGGTCTACAGTATGCAGATGACCATTTTGGACTCTTCTGTCTCTAATCTTGTAATCCTACCTCTAATAAACTCCCTTCTATAATTATACATATATTTTATTGATTCCATTTCTCTAAACAACACATACTAATATGAATCCTTTACATTATTTTCTAAAGTTTTTTTTTTTTTTTTAATCGGTACCGGGGATCGAACTCACGACTGCTTGCTTACAAGTCAGGGGCTGGGGGTTTAGCTCAGCAGCATAAGCGCCTGCCTTGAAAGCAGGCAGTCGTGAGTTCGATCCTGATCCCCGGTACTGATAAAAAGGAAAAAGACAAAAAAAAAAAAAAAAAAATACAGCAAGTCAGGTACTTATGCCGCTGAGCTAAATCCCCACCCTCTTTTATATCATTTTTAACACAATAGGATACTACTTTGCTTCTTCACTCCAAAAATAAATTCTGGAATTCTTTCTGTAATGATTCATTAATCTGATAAGCTTGAATTAATATTTATAATAGTGAGTCCCTGTCTTGAAAAACAAAACAGAGAGAGAGACAGCGAGAAGGAAAGAAAGACTAAGGACCAAACTAGGATCTTCTTTGAATCCAGCTACAACCTCACCTTCCCCTCGCCCTTTAAAACTTTATTTTTGAACCAGGGTCTTACTGAGTCTCTGAGCTGCCCAGACTAGGCTAAAACTTGCAGTGTTCCTGCTCTGTCTCGCAGTGGTCATAGACACCAAGCTTGCCTCCAGTTTGGTTGTTTTCCAATTTCACTGATTTAACTGCTAATTTATTCAACATATATGTATTACATATGCTTTGATTTATCAGTGCCACATTTAGCAATGTTTTTACTCATAAAACATATTTTAGGGGGACAGGGAGTTAGCTCAGCAGCATAAGCGCCTGCCTGGCAAGTGTGAGGTAATGAGTTTGATCCGTGGTACCAAAAAGTAAAATAAAATAAATAAACATATTTTACCATCTAGTGGAAAAATACACCTCATTTATTTAATTTTTTAGACTTTCCCTGCACCTTACATTTGTTTATTTCTCATTTACATCTTAGAATCAGCTTACTAGCTCTAAAATAAGTCATATTTGTATTTTTATGGAGTTATACTAAATTTATAGCTTGAATTAGGAAAAATTAATATCTTTGCCTTGTCCAGAATAAGAGTACCTAATATCATTATATATAACACATATATATGTATATACATATATATATATATATATATATATATTTTTTTTTTTTTTTTTTTTGTCTTTTTGAGACAGAGTCTATGAGTTTAAGCTGGCTTTGGGCTCACTCTGTAGCCCAGGCTGATCTCAAACTTGCAACAATCCTCCTGCTTCGGCCTCCAGAGTACTGTGATTAAAGGCATGCACCACCATGCCCAGCATTTTATATGACTTTTCAAAAATTCCTTACTAATGTTTTGATATTCCTCATAAAATCTTTCTCATTTCCTATATATTTTATTTGCTTCCATATATTAACTTTCATCTCTTTTAGTTTCTAACAGTTTTTATTTTATTCTTTTGACTTACTTATATAAACAATCATATAGCATAATAATAACAATGTTTTACTTTTTCCAGTTTTTATTTTTACTCATTTTTGTTATCTGGCCATGTTGGCTGAGTAATAATGGTGATAAAGATCCTTTACTTACTTACAACTGACATTATTGGGAGTGATATGCCAATACAAGCTTTTTGCCATAGCTAAAAACAGGGGTCCTCATTCAGAATGTTTTAATCATCAAAAGCCTGATATTTACCAGGAAGTAAGTTCTTGAAAATGAAGAGGTTCATGCATAGGTCTTTCTGGTAGTGGGAATTTATCATAGGATATTTGCAAATTGAGGGTGACAAGAACAAGAAATCTTGACAGTATAGTTGCAAATTATTCTTCTCATTCATTTGGTCATTCTATGTTATCCTAACATTTTTTTTTTTTTTTTGTCTTTTTCCTTTTTATCGGTACCAGGTATCGAACTCACGACTGCCTGCTTGCAAGGCAGGCGCTTATGCCGCTGAGCTAAATCCCAGCCCCCAATCCTAACATTTTTACACAGTTAGATTGTCTGAAATTTTGGATTATGGGCTTTACAGGCATGAAATTATCCAAAAGGAAACTGAAATGACAAAAATTTTACTTTGTTGCTTTAAAATTGCTCATTTAATGGGCATATACTGATAAATAATGAAACTGGTAAACATGAATAGGAAGAGATCACAAAATCTAAGTTACATAGCAATACACCAACTTTTAATTCCTTAATTAGCAAAACTTTGATTTTTATTTAGGTTCTTTTTTCTCCAACATGTAAAAATCTGGCCCCTACTTATCTAATTTATCAATGCTCAAGATTTTCTGTTTAGGAAAATTGCTTTGAGATTATTCAAAAGTTTTAATTTCATATTCTATAATACCTTAAATATAACAGATTTTTTAAAAAGATATAGTAATATAAATAATTAGTTCACCCTGTGTGATTTTTATATGTTGCAATATTTGTTGAGGAAATGAGAAACTTTAGTCTGACATATGTATCAGATTTTAAAAGGATGACAAATATAAATAGTTTCAAAATATATTCGTCCAAAATATGTTTATGGGTTTATATGAAAATTCTATCACCCTTTATGGTTAAAATTTATTCTTTGTATATTTTATTTTTATACTCTTTTTTTTATTCTTAAGATACCCCAAAGTCCTTGTAACCCTCTAAATCTGTTATAAATAGTGCATGTATTGAGGTAAGGACATCTATAGTGCCCCAAATTGTTGGTTTCAGATATTTTAATATCTTTTACATTTCCTTCAGGTTTTAGTGGAAGAAACAAAGAGCTAGGTTTTACACAGAGCCACCTCAAATACTTTTTCCTACCTGTGTGAGCTCCATAATTATTTGACAAATGATTTCTAGTCCAGTGATTAGGTCCAGAGTGGTTACCAGTAACAAATTTACTATTAGCATACTGCTTAGGGCAGCAGTTCTCACAAGAAGGTTCAGATTCTCAAGTCTCAAGAGCATTTCTAGGTATCAGAGGCTGGGTTCTTGCATCATTTTATGTTGCAATGGCCAGTGTTCCGGGCTACTTCACATTGTCAGGGAGAACTTTACACTTAAGGTTTGCCTAAGTGATGATGAAGATTTATTGAAATGATACGGGAAAGTGAGGAAGAAAGGAAACCACGGCAGCAATTAAAAGGCCAGGCTTGAAGAATTAAAGCCTAAATGTAAACTGTAACAACAGATTTAGTGATCTCCCTTCTCAAGACCATTGATTGCTTCTGTCTCAGCTTCTTGAAAGTTCATTGTTCTTGGGTTATATTGCATTTAAAATCCAGAAAGAGGGTGCTGGGGATTTAGCTCAGCAGCATAAGCACCTGCCTTGCAAGCAGGCAGTCGTGATTTTGATCCCCGGTATTGATAAAAAGAGAAAAAAAAAATCCAGAAAGAAAGAAGGGAATGGAAGAAGAAGAAGAAATGATTGATTCAACTGCCACTGTACAGTATCACCTTCCTTCATAGGTTAATTCCCACCTCATGTTCCAGGCTCCTGTGTGGATCAGAGCTACCAAGTATTTAGCCATAACTCAAGTAATACATACATTTTTCATGTGCTCTTATACAGACATGAATATGCTTTCTTATGCTCTACTAACTGAGCTAGCCAGGCACCTAATGCTTTCTTTATCTTTCTTTCTCTCTTTTTTCTTTTTTTTGTACTGGAGATTAAATTCACGACCTCACACTTGCCACGCAGGCACTGTGCCACAGGGTCCCTGGCCCAATGTTTTCTTAAAAGAACACTTAACCTATGCATTTTACAGTCTGATTTTTTACAGTTTGATTTGTTTTTGGGGTTACAGGGAATAAAACCCAGGGGTGCTCTACCACTGAGTCTTATACCTCTAGTCCTTTTATATTTTTATTTTGAGGCAGAGACTATGTTGCTCAGACTGGGATCAAATTTGAGATCTCCTGCTCAGCCTACCAGAGTGCTGAGATTACAAGTATACCTGGCTCTGATATTTTGTCGTCTTAATCAAGACTATCCTATTTCTTTCCACTCTATACATTTAAAACATTGGCAGTTGTGACTCATATGCTGAATTGATTTCATCACTCTGCAAATTATAAAATAGTGCTACAGATTAGTCTTCTCAAATTCTAATGTGCATGCAAATCACCTAAGAATCTGCTAAAAGTGCTAGGAGTAAGCTCAACTGTGGAGAATATGCTTAGACTGTGCAATGCCCTAGGTTCAGTTCCCAGCACCAGCACCAAGAACAACACACACACACACACACACACTCACTACTGTAATTCAAGTGAAGTCTGAGATACCTACTGTATTTCTAACTAACTCAAAGGTAATGCTGACACTGGTTCATACTTTGAGCTATAAGCCTCTGGGTATTAGTTTTTAGTTCTTCTGACTCAATTCTTAGTTTAATCAACCAAGATAAGAAGTTTAGAATCTTATTAAAGCTTTGAGACATATGCACAAGAGTCTTCCATTACTTCATGGAGACACACTATGACCCTCATGGACATTCTAGAACAGCATAGACTTTTCTAGTACAGTGACATTTAGTTCAGATCTTCAACACTATAGAATCCACTTAATGGGTATTTATTACTGAAAACTTACTATGTGCCATGCCCAGTTCCAGCGTAAGATAAAGTCCTCTATATTTTACATTATAGTGAGGTAAAAATGAACTCTTTAATTTCAGATTATACTTATGTACAGTGAAGAGAAATGAAGCTGATAAAGGTGAGGACCATGGTAGTGTGGGGCACTGGATAGATTATGCATTTGGGCAACACCTCTCAGGGTCAGTGACATTTGACAAGAGACCCAAATGAAGGGAAATAATATTGGGACAATCTTGAGGAAGGACCTGCAGGCAGAGAAGAGTGCAGGCACTGGTCCTGAGGAGGGGAAATGGTGATGTCGGAAGGTTCCACAGGAAGGCCAGTTTGTCTAGAAGGGAGGAAGAAGGAAACAAGAGGAATAATCAGGTCAGTCAGGTAAGCAGCCTCCATCATACAGGACCTTACAGGCTGAGGCACATTTTGAGTTTATTCCAATAGTGATGGACAACACTGGGAGGTTTTAAACAGGGAAGTGACATGAAATTTTGTTTTACATGATGACTCTGGTTGGATATGTGATGAGACTAATTACACATTAAAACAGTAGCCCATAATGATTTTGTGGTGTCTGGTGACTGTGGCTTTCCTGTCACTGGACAAAACCCAGTCCTCCACAATTTAAAGGAGGAGCGGTTTCATGTGACTCACAGTTTTGGTCCATGGTCAACTGGTTCCAAGGTAGAAAAGTCCTGGTGGAGGTGCATGGTGGAACAAAGCTGTTTAGTTCGTGGCAGCCTGGAAGCAAAGCAGAAGAGTGCCATGGAGTAAGGGGGTGGAATACCAAACAGAGGCCCGAGCCCAACCCATATGACCCACCAAGACACCTGTGAGTCTGCTCTGATCCCTGCGCAGATCCTAAAGCCAGTCAAGTTTAAACTCCACCCTGACCACCACAGGGGATACATGAAAGTGTTTTTTGCTGAAGTACTACAAGATTGAGGCTATGGAGATCCTCGTTTATATTAACTTTTGTAAATAATTCACATCGAACAGTGCAAGATGCCAAATTCAACAGAACATGAGTCAACAAAAACCTTTAACAGTCTGCCCTTTTGCAAGTCCAGATTTCTAGGTGAGGTCTGAGCCTGCCTATCTCCACCTACGAATGTCCAAATATCCAGATAGAAAATTTCACCCGCTCCGATTAATCAATACTCCATGTGCTGAGATCACCTCGAGTAGCAATATAGGAATATGGCTTTTGTTTTAATGAATAAATTAGTATTTAGTAGTTAAAAGCACCATGCCCAGAGTGGGGGCATAGTTCAGTGGAAGGGAGCAAGCTTACTACACAAAAGGCACTTAAAAACTTGTTTCTCATAGGTGATGGCCTTCTCCCTCCTGTTCAAAGCTACTCTTCCACTTGAGAATTAGCTGACCTTATCTCCCATGTTATACTAAATCAAAAGAATCTTCACCTTTAGATTTGGTAATGGTATATGAAGATGATGTGTTATTATTCGTTGTATCCCAGAGAAGAAAAAAACCAACACTGTCAGATAAACAAGCCATCATGCATAAGACTGATCTCAATTTCAGAAATGCTAAAATGTGAAAAAAGCATGTTTTGTTTTTGTTTTTGTTTTTGTTTTTGTTGAGACATGGTCTTGTCCTGTACCTCAGACTGGTCTCCTGCCTTGACCCTCCTGCTTCAGTCTTTCAAGTGCTGGAATTACAGGCATGCATCACTAAACCTGGTTTAAAAGCACATTTCTTAAAATTAATGAAAAACATTCTATCATAATCAGTCCAGTCAGAAACCTAGAAGTCGTTATAGCCTACCATCTCTCAATTCTCACATACTGGGTTTGTACTTCACAAATCTTACCCTGCAGTTTAGAAAATGGATCTGCTATCCCTGTGGTAATTCCCTTAACAATTAAGTCACTCTCACATGTCTTAAGCATTTTTCTCATTACTGAGACAAAATACCTGACACCTATCACCCTAAGAAGGAAAGGCTTATTTTGGTTTATAGTTAATAGAAGTTTCAGTCTATAGTCCCTGCTAGATCCAAGGCAGGGTTAGTAGCAGAAGGGTGTGACAGAGAAGAATCAGCTCATGGTAGAGCAGTAGGAAGCAGAGAGAGAGATCAGTGGAGGAGAGAGGGAGATAGACCCTTCCAGCCATGCCCAAGTGGCCCATCTCCTCCAAGCAAATGTCACCTCCTAACATCACATTAGCTATAAACTCATCAGTAGCCAAATCCACTGATGAGTACAAAACCCCATGATCCAGTCACCTTCCAAAAGCCCACCCATGAGTGCATGAGGCTTTCAAGAGGACATCTAACACAAAGCAGAATGATATTCCAAAATATATTTGATGATTATACTACTAAATGAAGATGTTTTGGGGCCAAGGATGTAGCTGAGTGGGTCTGCCCGGCACGCACGAATTCAGGAGTTCAATCCCAGTACCAAAAAAAAAAAAAAAAAAAAAAATTCTAGTTAGTTTCATGGTAAAGTCTAATCTCCTCTTCATAACCTTAACATATTTCATAATCTTGTCATTATCTTCAAGTACATTTGCATACATCTGAACAGACTAGCATGTAAAATTTTTGTTCTTAAGTATAGTGGGACATATTTATAATCTCAGTACTTGAAAGGTTGAGGCAGGACTCCCTTGAGTTCAAGGCCAATCTGGGTTACAAGACAAGCCTACAATTCATAGCAAGACCCTGTCTCAACAAATTAATTAATTAATTAATGCTCATCTTCTCCTGTGGTGTCTTTTATTCGGTTGTCCCTTGAAAATGCCTACTTATCTTTTTAAGAATTAACTCAAACACAGCCTTTTCAGTAAACATTCTTGGATGCTCTACACCCAGTCTTAAAGATTGTAAATGCTTTTCTCTGCATTTTAGCATTTATTTTATTTTATAATTACTTACAATTCTGCATTGTGAGCCCATCAAGGTCAAGGAACATATTCTGTACATTATCACAGCCTCATCATGTGGCTTTGGGCCTGACACACAAGCAGGCTTTTAGTAAATATTTGCCAAATTATTAAGTAAATGATATGTATGTGAAAAAAGAACCACCTTTAATAAATAATATGAGATCTTGACAATTCTGAAATGTACATCACTTCAACTTGGAAGAACAAGTCAGTGCCAAAGGAAAGGATTGGTCCCTCTCCTTGCTTAGCCCCAAGGATAAAATCTATTGATGTGGTTTGAGGCCTCCAATCATTGCAAGTTTAAGCCCAGATCTGTGAGACAAAACAACCTGAGCAACTATAGAATTTGGGATGCTTTTTTGTTGGCCACTTTCATGTTTAAGAAAAGAAGTTCAGATTTGTAGACAGTTGATCTATATGACTTTTAGCATTAGAAATTATTTTGTGAACTATCAACTGATAACTTCAAAAAAGTTTAACTGTAATTTGTAAAATTAGTCAACAATACAATGCTTTTCTGTATAATTTGCCTTAAGGATAGAGAGTTAGAAACCAGAAAATTGCAAGGAAAGCTTAATAGTTCCATACGTAAATTGTTCTTCAAGTTTTTCTGAGCCCAAGGTGATTTTTTTTCCATTTTACATCTTTCTATACTCTAGCACCTCACACAGTGCCAGTAGCCTGTGGGTACTTAATACACGCTGATTGAAAAAAATGTTGAAAGAACAAGCTTACTTTGAAAATTTTTCCAACTTTATTTTTGCCTTGGGCTTGTTTCTTTCAAACCGGTGTAAATACAAGAGAAAATATACCCAATCTCTAAGGCACTAGAATCACAATTGACTTCCCTGTGAGTCTATGTTATTACAATAAGACATAACAATAAGTATGCAAAATGATGTACAAAAGTTAGCAGATCAGAAAGCAAAAGGGCTACGTTAGAGGAAGGTGGGGACCAAATCAGTTATTTTGTGTGATATTACTCTTGTGTACTATGATCTACAGGGTTGTGAAAGGTTTGAACAATGAAAGCGTATTTGAGCTTTTCAAGAAGCCAAGGAGCAGCAGGCCCTGGTAGCACATGCCTGTAATCTCAGCACTTGAGAGGCTGAGGCATGAGAATCATTGCAAGTTTAAGACCAGCCTGGGCTACAAAGTGAGCTCAAGGCCAGCCTGAAATGCATAGCGAGACCCTATCTCAAAAGACAAAGAAGAAGAAGAAAGAAGGAAGAAGAAGAAGAAGAAGAAAAAGAAGAAGAAGAAGTCATCAAGGAGCCAGATATGGTGGCGCATGCCTATAATCCCAGCACCTAGGAGTCTGAGGCAGGATTACTGTGAGTTCAAGGGCAGGCTGGGTTACACAGTTCAAGGCCAGCCTGGTTTATATAGTAAGACCGTGTCTCAAAAAAAAAAAAAAAAAGAAAAGAAAAAAAGTCAAAGGAAGGGTACGAAAAGACTAGTCTGTTTACATCAAACAATAAAAAATTTACCATTTTATCAAAAACGGTTGAATATCAACAGTTTCAGAAGGTCCAACCTAATAGCAAAAAGGAAAGTGAAATGGAAGAGTATTTCTAAAAATAAAGATATGTTCATACCTAGATAGGTTCTGAAGATTCTACAGAAATTAAAATAGCCCTTCCGTATCAAGATCAACCAGAGACTATATAGCATATCAGATATTTGAATTCTTACTGTTTTTTAAAGTTTTGACATTTTTTTAAAAAAATAGACAAAATTTATGCATATTCACCTTCTATAACAAATTGTTTTGAAATATATATTATAGAATGGCTAAATTAAGTCAATTACTGTACCTATTACTTCACATACTTTTTTGTGATGAAAACACAATCAACTCTCTCAGAAATTTTCAAGAATACAATAGATTTCTTAATTTATTCTTTCTATCCAGCTGAAATTTTGTGCCCTTTGAGAAATACTTACTTTCTCCTTCCCCAGCCCTGGAACCAATATTCTATTCTCTACTTCTGATTCTGGTTATAAAATTGTTCATATATTTCAATTATATAAAATTATTAAGAACCATTTTGGTTAATGTTTTAAAATTTTAACTAGGCAATAGTTATTACATTTTAAGCTCTTTTGAATTAAATAACTCTAGGAAACTGAAGAAGAAATATCTAGCATACAGGTCAATGTAGTTGATTATATTAGCAGTAATAGTTACCACTAATTAAGTACTTTACGAGTTCTCAGTTGAGAGTTTCTCACATACAATTTCATGACAAAAAACTACAGTGCATTCTTTCGCCTATTTTAGACATGAAATAATACATAGGAAAGGTAAATTCTCCACAACACAAACTCAGGTATGTTTGACTCCAAAGGCTAATCTTCCCAAATAAAACTATAAAAATAATTAGAAACTCCAAATTCTTATATATAAATATAAATGACTATTAACGTCAAGACCTACTCTTTAGCTGGGGAGGACTGGTAAATATAACACACTCCATCTAAAAGAAACTTAGTATATGCCAGGCACAAAGTTCGTTACGATTTTAGTATTTTCGTGTTTTGCAGATGAAGAAACTGAATCAGAGGAAATTATGTAATTTGACCAGTATCAAACAGTAAATGATATAGGCAAGATTCAATTAAGGAAAGTCTAACTTTAAAATTCATATTTTAAAAAGCTGTCTTATGGGGCTGGGGATTTAGCTCAGCGGCTTAAGCGCCTGCCTTGCAAGCAGGCAGTCATGAGTTTGATCCCTGGTACCGATAAAAAGGAAAAAGACAAAAAAAAAAAAAAAAAAAAAAAGCTGTCTTATGATCCAGCAATTCTCATGCTAGGTATATATTCAAAAGGAATGAAACTGACATGTTGAAGAGATATGTGTGCTCCTACATTTATTGTTACAAATTGTTATAAAGTTCTTTTGACAAAAAATTTTAAAAACTTAAATATGGTTTAGTCTACTATTAAACAAAGGATTTTGATGATCACTACCATAAGGGGAAGTAATACAGGATTGATAAAAACTTAGCTGAGGGTGCCATCACTCATTTCCTGTCTTGTATTTCTTTATAACTTTGATGGGTGTTTTCATTAACAGTCTTCAGCTCTAGGGAGATATTTTTCCAACCAAAACGTCCTTAAATAGGATGTTAATTTAAATGATAAGGGTGAAACAACAAACATACTTATTAAAATTTATTTGGGAGTTGAGAGATTAAAAACAAGAAAAAATCAGCTCAAGATGAGTTTTCTAATAGTTGCGAGAGGCATTTGTGTAGAAAGACATTCCTAAAGATCTATCTGATCATTAAGGGAAAGAACGAATTCAAAGGTGATAGTAATACTACACATTTGGTTAATGGAAAGGCCATCATTAATGGTTAAGGAGAAGTGCTTTTATATAACTTGAAAAGGTAAAGAAATTGATACACAACCTCCCAACACTTCACTGACTAGGAATGTATTTTTCCCTCAGGCTCAAGAGCTTTAAAGCCACATGAAATTTTTCATTGTCTTGTGATTCATAATGCTGGCGCATCTTACATCACTCTCAATTAAAGAACAGTGCCTGTTCCTACACATCATCCTCCCACACAGAAACCGAAGAACATGAAGGCAAGCGACATCGCCAGAAATAAAATCTTTGTTCCTAAATCAAGCATTTGTCCATTTTTTTGTTTGCTATCTACGTGTCTGACTTCGAAGTTGTTGTTTCAAATACTAGTGAGTGCTTGTATTTTTTTTTTAATTTCTATTATTTGACAACAGTTTAGCTCGGATTAGAATTAGGCAAACAGTAGCTGGAGGTTCCTTCAACAGGCATTTTTTTAAAATTATAAAATGAATAAATCAGTATGGCAGAGGGATTAAAGTTCATTATTTGGTTTAAGACAGAATTAGTTCAAATCCAGGATCTTACTATTTATTTCAAGTTTCTAAGTCTCAGTTTCCTTATTTGTAAAATAGGTTTAATAACAATATTTACTGCATTTGACTGTTGAGGGCATTAGTAAACTACTTGACATAGCGTCTGGCATGTGATAAAAGCATGTGAATTGTTTTTGAGCTTTTTATTAGTTAATGTTTGAGGAACTGCAGAACTTACAGGGTAACATTTACTTAGTGGGATGGGACCTCAAGCCTTTCTTGCTTCATAAAACATCTTCAAGCAATAACAATCTCTTACGCATTTGATTTTAATTGCACACTTTGATATACCTTCATTACTGTTTCTGTGGTGGGGTAGAGACTATTATCTCAAAGAATGGGATAACAAGAGCAGAAATGAGACTTCCACTTCTGAGAAGGAGTAAGAATATAGGAAGTTAAAACTTCAGACATTATCTATAAGACAAACACAGAAAAGTGAGGAAAACAGGCCAGCTGGGGGACGGTGACACGGTAGTAAATTGCTCAGTTTTTCTTTTTTTGTTTAAATATCTTAAATTGATTGTTAGAGAAGCTCATAACCCATAACTTCCAACAGGCATGGACCAAGTAGTAAGATTCTCTCAAGATGACTGCTTTGCCTAAGCAGAAGTCTGGGAAAGGGGCAGCCTAGAAGAGCAGAGAGGGGCTGCTTTGGAGGCAACAACCAAATCACTCCCATCAAACCACAAAAAAAGTGACTCCCATTCCAGAAAAGGCCAAAAGCCTGGAATTCCACCCTCTTCTTCAAAGGGAACAGCTCAGCTCCTGAGCCACACTGTATCCCATCAGCACCCTGGGACTTTAAGCTCCTGGGCAGCAGTGAGCTTGCCGCCTCCACACTGGGGTTTCCCTGGCCGCAGTGTCTGGGTGCCCGCACCTCAGGGCTGCGGGGCACTTGGAGGAGGAGGAGGAGGAGGAGGAGGAGGAGGAGGAGGAGGAGGAGGAGGGAGGAGGGAGAGGAGGGGGAGGAGGGGGAGGGGGAGGAGGGAGGAGCAGGGGGAGGAAGAGGAGGAGGAGGAGGGAGGAGGGAGAGGAGGGGGAGGGGAAGGAGGGGGGAGGAGGTGGTGGTGCTGGTGGTGTGCGGAAAAGCGGACCCCACCACTGTCTACAGCAACAAGGCCTTGAAGTGGTGGCTGCTTTGGCATCTTTTCCATATCATTCTAAATACTCTGTCCTCTGGGAGTTGGCACCTCTAGATTGTCCATCCCCCGCCCCCGCATTCAGTTGGCGATCTTCCTTCTTAGGGTAAGTGCGGTTTTAATTGAAATGTGGACATCTGGATAATAAGTTACGTACCTTATTCAAACTTGTATTTTAGTTGGCTTCCTCCAACACCTCTCTAGTAAGAGAAGCTAGCTGGGGACTGTTTCAGTGAGCAGTTACAAACATGCTTGAAACAAAAGCCCAAAAAGTCCTACCAAAGAAGTAGAAGAAATGAAGAAAAATCAAAACGAAAATGTAGAACAGAAAATAAAGTAACTGAAAAACTTTCTCCAGCAGCAGAATGAAGAAGACAAAGATAAGAATCAGTGAACTGGAACAGAAATATTACCCACTACAAACAACAGAGGAAAAGTAGACTGAAAAAGAAAGAAAGAAAGAAAGAAAGAAAGAAAGAAAGAAAGAAAGAAAGAAAGAACAGGAACCTACGGAATAAAAGTAAAAGTTCTAACATTTATGTCTTCCAAATTCTGGAAGGAGCATCTAAAGAAATGACTAAAAATGTCCCAAGTTTAAAAATAAATGAATAAAAAAATGAGTAAAATAAAAAGGTCATGGTCCCCAAATCTATAAATTCTAGAAACTGAGAAAATCCCAAACAGCATAAACTTCAAGAAATCCATGAGACATATAATTAAACTTCCAAAAATAGAAGAGAAAGAAAAGATTCTGAAAGTACCAAGAGAAAAATGACATTACACACATTACTTTACACGTAGGGATAAACAATTTAAATAACAGTGGATTTCTTCTATTAGAAATCATGAGAGGCAGAAGGAAGTATAAAACAGTTTTCATTTTGTCTTGTTTTTAATGGTTAAAAAAAGCCAATAATTCAGAATCCTTTATTCAGGAATGAAGGAACAGTAAAGGCATTTTTAGATGAATAACACCAAAAGAATTTGTTGCCAATGGATTTACCCTAAAAATAATGGATACTGGAAAATCTTTATATAGCAATAAAGTGATGAAAGAAGATGTCTTGGAAACAACAGACGAGAAGAAACAATGTAAGAAAGATAACCAAGATATGTTTGAATACAATGTATTCCCGTTCTCTTGTATATATGTTTGTTTGTGACAGGCTCTCGCTATGTAGATCACACACTGGCACTGAACTCACTATGGTGTAGCCCACCTCAGACTCATGGTAATCCTCTTGCCTCAGCCTCCCAAGTGCTGGAATTACAGGCATGTGCACGCCTGGTTTTCCTTTTCCTTTTTGAGCTTCTAAATTAGGTTTGATGGTTTAATTTAAAAACTATACATAACACTATCTAATGTGGATTTAAATGAATATAGAGAAGCTGGATGTGGTATCAAATGCCTCTAATCTCAGCACTCGGGCAGGCTAAGGCTGAATCACAAGTTCAAGCCCAGTCTTCACTCTGCCTCAAAGTGAAAAGTGAAAAAGGGCAGAGAATGCAGCTCAAGGAAAAGGCCCTGGGTATGATTTCAGTACTGAAATATATGTATATATATTTTAAGATAATATAAAAATGAGATTATTTTGAAATTTATAAGCATAAAGTTTGGTTTCTTGTGCATTTGTGTGGAATGTGCGTTTCCCTCAAACTCTGCTACAATGTCAGCACATTATCTCCTTGGTGTGAAAAAAGAAATGAAGAGAGGAACTTTCACACTTCATGCACTGTTAAAATGATGCACCAGTAAACTTTTTGTGTATATGTAGTATAATACCTCAAGCAACTATTAAAAACAACATTAACATTTACATTAAAAAGGACACTGAAGATAAAAATAGAAGTAATATATGAGAAAGAAGTGGATACATGTGAAGAACAGAGATATTAAACAGAAAAAATATAAACTGGCACACAGGCCCTCAAATAATAATGAGGTTAAATGTAAATGGTCTAAGTACATCAATTTAATGACAGATTGACAGAAGAGATTGAAAACATGGCCAATGTGTATACTGTATATAAGAAACTCACTTCAAATATATTGGCAATTTTCTTTTTCTTTTTTTCCATAGGCAATTTTCTTGAAAAAATGGAAAAAGGAATAGCACACAGACTTTAGTGAAGAGAAAACAGAGATAGTGGTATTAACATCAGAGCAAAAGAAGTTATTACCAGACAAGAGAAGATTCTAAATGAAAAGTCAATTCACCAAGATGATTTAGTAATCCCAAATGTTTAGGCGCCAAAACACTGAACTGCAACGTGTGAAGTTGCGGGGAAGGGGAGATACAGGTGAATCCACGTTCATATTCAGGGAGAATACTGTATCTTTCTCTCAATAGTATTCAGAACAGATAGGTAGCAAGTCAGCAAAGATATGAAGACCTCAACAACGCTGTTAGCCAATGAGATCCAATCAACATTTATGAGCACTCTGACAACTACTCATTCTTTTCAAGTGCCCATGGAATGTAATATACCAAAATGATACCAAGAAATATGACAGACTGTAAAACAAACCTGAACAAATTAAAAAGAACTGAAATCATATGGAATGTGTCCTCTGACCACACTGGAATTAAACTAGAAATCAATAATAGAAAGATATCAGGAAAGTCTCCAAGCATGAAACTAAACATTCTTTTCTTGAAACAAGGTTTCACTATGTAGTTCTGGTTGGCCTTGAAATCACATGTAGTCTAA